CCTGACAGGGAGGTGGGGGCTTGGTGACTTTGGGAGAGGGAAATAGTGCCTTCAGCTCGTCACCAGTATGGTCCCGCAGCTCACCCCACGGATCCTGGAAGCCCACCAGAATGTGGCCCAGCTGTCGTTGGCAGAGGCCCAGCTTCGCTTCATCCAGGCCTGGCAGTCCTTGCCCGACTTCGGCATCTCCTACGTCATGGTCAGGTATGGTCCCTGACCGAGCCCCTGCTGAGCACCGCCTCTGCCCTCATCTGCCACCTGGCTGCTGTGTGCGCACATCCTGAGTGGGGTCTGAACAGGCACCCTGAAGACTCCCTTCCCTTGTTGTTTGTAGGCAGGACTTACTGAGGGCCCATGTGTACCCCTCATGCTGCCCCTCCACAACAAACATAAGAGACAAAACTCATGCTGGGTGCGGGGCTCACACCTGTAATCTCAGCACTTTGGGAGGCCGAGGCAGGAGGACTGCTTGAGCCCAGGAGTTTGACACCAGCCTGGGCAACATAGAAAGACCCCTGTCTCTACAAAAAATTGTAAAAAATTAGCTGGGCGTGGTGGTGGGCATCTGTAGTCCCAGCTACTTGGGAGGCTGAGGTGGGAGGATCTCTTGAGCCTGGGAGGTCGAAGCTGCAGTGGGCCGTGATTACATCACTGCACTCAAGCATGGGTGACAGAGCAAGACTGTGTCTCAGAAATTGGCCAGGCACAGTGGCACACATCTGTAATCCCAGCACTTTGGGAGGCTGAGGCAGGTGGATCACCTGAGGTCAGGAGTTCGAGACCAGCCTGGCCAATGTGGCGAAACTCTGTCTCTACTAAAAATACAAAAATCAGCTCAGGGTACTGTGGCATATGCCTGTAGTCCCAGCTACTCGGGAGGCTGAGGCAGAATCGCTTGAACCCAGGAGGTGGAGGTTGCAGTGAGCAGAGATCACACCACTGCACTCAAGCCTGGGTGACAGAGCGAGACTCCATCTCAAAAAAAAAAAAAAAAAAATTAAATGAAGAGCTCAAAAAATAAAAGGAGTACAGGCTAGGAGAGCAGAACCAGTTCTTGTCCCAGCTCTGCTGTGGATGGTTCAGTCTGGGCCTGGGTTCGCCGGTCCACAGGAGAGGGCTAGGGTGGGTGCCGCTACGGGGAGTGAGCCCTTCTGATTAGTTGTTTCCCAAGACTGCAGAGAAGACAGCGAGACAGCAGCTCTCTTGATGATGAAGATACCAAAAACCAAAAAAAGTTACCATTTAAAGACATGGCCTGTTGGCTACATGCTGCTAAACGCTGTTGTGCGATTCTATCATTTCACCTCCATTTTCCAGATGAGGAACTGGGGGCCCAGGGAACCCAAATGGCTTGCTCAGGGTCACACAGCTGGTGAGCTGCAGCGTGGGAAAGGGCCCTCTCTCCAGCACGGCAGCACCTTGTCGGGGTGGATCGGGCCATCCGGGGGGGCCTTGCTCACACTCTCTCCCGCTGGGGGCCAGGTTCAAGGGCAGCAGGAAAGACGAGATCCTGGGCATCGCCAACAACCGACTGATCCGAATTGACTTGGCCGTGGGCGATGTGGTCAAGACCTGGCGCTTCAGCAACATGCGCCAGTGGAACGTCAACTGGGACATCCGACAGGTAGGCCCAGACCGGGGGCAGGGATGGGGGCAGGTGCCAGGCCAGAGCCGGATCCAGCCAGGGCGGGGCAGGGTGCTCCCTTAGCCCACCGCCCATTCGCCCCTCTGTCTGTCCCCTCTTCAGGTGGCCATCGAGTTTGATGAGCACATCAACGTGGCCTTTAGCTGCGTGTCTGCCAGCTGCCGGATTGTGCACGAATACATCGGGGGCTACATTTTCCTGTCGACCCGGGAGCGGGCCCGGGGGGAGGAGCTGGATGAAGACCTCTTCCTGCAGCTCACAGGAGGCCATGAGGCCTTCTAAGGGCCATCTGACTGCCCCTACCCTGCTCACCACCTGTCACAGCCACTCCCAAGCCCACACCCACTGGGACTCACTGCTCCACACCTGCCCCAGGCAGGCACCCAGCTGGGCATGTTCACCTGCTGTCACTGGCTTTGTGCAGGCCAGCGACCTGGCTGGGCCACACACTGCCATCACCCAGGCTAGGGATGGGGGTGGGCGTCCCCGAGCTCATGCAGTGCCCCCTTTCCTTGTCCGAGTGGCTGACGCTGATACCCCTGACCTATCTGCAGTCCCCCAGCACACAAGGAAGACCAGATGTAGCTACGGGATGATGAAGCATGGTTTTGAACTGGAGTTTCTTTCTTGTTACTTTTTAAATTTTCTTTTTTATAAATTAATATTTTATTGTTGGATCCTCCTCCTTCCTCTGGAGATGTGCTTGGGGGCACTCTGACACTCTGTCTCTTCATCACCAGCCAAGGAAAGGGTCTTTCCTGATAGACAAATTGGTTAGAGAAAGGGAGATCTAAGTCAGCCTGGGGTTGGAGGCTAGGAGATAGGTGAGGGCAGAAGGGCACAGGCTTCAGGCACAAGGAATAGGGGCTGGGGCGGTGGCTCTCACGGGTAGGGCGTAGCTGGAGGGCCTCCTTGAAGTACTTGGGAAGCAGGAGGCCATCAGTATTCCCTGGAGTCAGAATCACTCCATTGGCAGAGCGGAAGAAGTGTATTCCATCTGCCAACAGAGCCAGAGATGTGACTCATGCCCTCCGGAAGGCCAGGGCAGCCCCTGCTTTGTCCAGACTCACCTGCCAGGGCCAGGGGTCCATCGATGAACACAGCTATTTCACAGTGTGGCCGCATGCCTGCAGAGACAGCAGGAGCTGGGGCCTGGGCACCCAGGGCGCAGTCAGCAACCTGGGCAGACTGGGGTCCTGGGCTGGGGGATGCGGGGGAGCTGCTCCATGTTGGGCATGGGGTGGCCTCAGATGAGGGTTGTAACCTTTGGAGGGGACCTGGGAGTACAGAGTGGGTGGGAGTAGCTAGGTGGAGGGGAGGGCACTGACCACTGATGACACCAGGGTCTCCAGGCAGTCCTGGGGCCAGGTGGATATGCGTCCTTCCCCGGCAGGACAGGCCCTTAAGTAGGATGGATGGCCAGTGCTTCCAGAATGTACCATGGACTAGCACCTGGGGCAGGGCCTGTGGTGTCTCCAGGGGCATCAGCTCCAACTCAGGTACCTGGTTGAATGGGCAGCAGTGAGACCACCTTGGCAGGCAGGGGTCCCTCCCATCTGGCTCTCCCGCTTGTCAACCCTTACCCTGACCTGCAGGGAGTGGCCCTGGTTGGCCCGGATGAGAGGGCCAGTGCTGGGATCCCCTGGCTGCAGGGCGAACCGCTGCTTCTCATTGGTGTCCACCACGCGCTGCACATCTTCAGCAGAGAAGAGGCGGAACTGGGGCAACTGCAGGAGGGCGCCCAGGGGCACGAAGCCATCTGCAGGCAAGCAGGGTGCTCAGGAGCCAGCCTTGCTCTGGACTGCACCAGGGTTAACGGGGAGCCACAGGTAACCCAAAAATGTCTGGACTTGGGAATCGCATGGGCATCCTCTGTGGGACCTTTGGAAAGTCTCCCCTTTCTGACGGGCGCAGTAGCTCACGCCTGTAATCCCAGCACTTTGGGAGGCCGAGGCAGGTGGATCATGAGGTCAAGAGTTTGAGACCAAAACAAACAAACAGAAAAACAGAAAAAAAAAAGAAATAAAAAAATAAAAATTAATTAAAAAAAAAGTTCAAGACCAGCCTGGCCAACATGGAGAAACCCCATCTCTACTAAAAATAAAAAAATTAGCTGGGCGTGGTGAGCAGCAGTCCCAGCTGCTTGGGAGGCTGAGGCAGGAGAATCGTTTGAACCTGGGAGGTGGAGGTCGCAGTGAGCCGAGATGAGGCCACTGCACTCCAGTCTGGACAACAGAGCAAGTTTCCGTCTCAAAAAAAAAAAAAAAAAAAAAAGCCTCCCCTTTCTGGGCTCGTTATTTCAACTTACACAGAAAGAGGATCTGCCTCACAGAGGGGCAGGGAGGTGAGTGCACACTCTCAACACCAGGTGCCCTATACCCTCCAGGGCACACCTTTGAGGTAAGTGCTGATCTGGCTGCTTAGCTGGAGAGGGCATTGCCAGGCCTGGCCCAGACAAGAGCTCTCCTCGGTCTGCTGTGGGCATGACAGTGTCTCTAGGCCTTGCTCTCCTCTGTGCATGGGGAAGAAGTGCCCTCTGTGCCTTCCTCAGGGAGCAGTGGAGGCAGCCGTGGGGGAGAGGTCACAGACAGGCTCTTGTTTCTCTCTGGGCTCAAGCCCCAGCCTCCAAAGCCCCTACTTACCGGCTCCCATAGGAAGCCCCAGCTTCAAGGCCCCATGGCGCAGGGCATAGGACAGAGCCTTGGACAGCTGCACGTCTCGGTCCTGAAAGAACCCAGCAGTGGTCCCTGGTCTCCATGGTGACCCTGCCCTGCTGCCCACCCTAAACCCTCAATGACTGCTGCAGAGAGAGCCCGGAGGGAGAGGACTGTCAGTGGTCTCCAGGAATGGTAGAACCCTTCAACCCCGTCCCCCAGCAACTCCCAGGGAGCCTGGACTGGTGGGAGGGGGTGGGGAGGAAGCGCGCACCTGTTCCCGGGGTCTGAAGGCCCTTCTACCCATGGGCCCTGCTGCTTCCTGCCTTCCTCCTCCAGAAGAGTTCATGGCTAGGACCTGTGTGGCAGTGACGAGGGGGCTCTGCTTTAAGGCCCCTCCCAAGTCCCCACCCCTCCCAGAAAAATCACAAAGTCTCAGGAAGTGAGCGCTGGGTGGGGGTATACGGCTCATTAAATTCACACCCCCACCCCCACCCCCACGTCCCAGGTGTAGAGAAGGAAACTACGGCCCAGAAAGCCAGACTTGCCCAAGGTCACACCATCAGCCAGGAGCGCAGGGAGGCCGAGCCCCGCATTCCAGCTCGCGGGTGCGTCCCACAGGGTGGTCTGGGAGGCGGGGCCAACGTGCAGACGGACAGGGCGGAAGCGTCTGGGCAGCAGCGGCTGGCAACCGAGACTAATCACCAGGCTCCGCGACCGCGGCGGAGCGGGCGGCGGACCCGCCAATGAAAAACCGCGGGGGAAGTGGGCGGGCACTTCCGCTTCGGGGGAAGGGGTGGAGCCTGCGGGACCCTGCGGCCGGTGAGCGCCGGCTGGAGGCTGGAGCTTCTGGGCTATGGGAGGGGAGGTCTCCGCGCGACCAGGGTCGGAGGCAGTCCCTGGGTTTGGGGGACATGGGCAGTTGGGGTCACCTGAACCCAGGACCTCTGGGTGGTAGGGATGCCCGGGCGTCCTGGACACCCTGGGGTACTCGGGGCTCCTGCGGGGTAGATAGGACGCTTCGCTGCCCAAGGAGTGGTCGGGTGGTGCAGAACGGCTGCGGGTGCCCTCAGGAGGTCTGCGACAGAGGGTGCCAGCTGCGCAGCCCAGGAGTGGTAGTGGCCCTCCTGGGTGACAGGCCCGGCTGTATCCTCCCCCAGAGCTGTCCCCCATGGACCCTGAGGTGACCCTGCTGCTGCAGTGCCCTGCGGGGGGCCTGCCCCAGGAGCAGGTCCAGGCTGAGCTGAGCCCCGCCTATGACCGTCGCCCACTGCCAGGTGGGGACGAGGCCATCACTGCCATCTGGGAGACCCGGCTAAAGGCCCAACCCTGGCTCTTCGACGCACCCAAGTTTCGCCTGCACTCAGCCACCCTGGCGCCCACTGGCTCTCGGGGGCCACAGCTGCTCCTACACCTGGGTCTTACTTCCTACCGGGACTTCCTGGGTACCAACTGGTCCAGCTCAGCTGCCTGGTTGCGACAGCAGGGGGCCGCGGACTGCAGTGACACGCAGGCCTATCTGGCGGACCCACTGGGGGTGGGCGCTGCACTGTCCACGGCTGATGACTTCCTTGTCTTCCTGCGCCGCTCCTGGCAGGTGGCTGAGGCCACTGGGCTGGTGGACGTGCCTGGTGGGCACCCTGAGCCTCAGGTGAGATGCCAGCCTGGGCACAAAGACCCAGACAGCTCAAGGGAGCTGTAGCTCTCCACCTTCCCAACCCTCCCAGCTTTGGTTTCCTCGTCCCTTAAAGGGAAAATTGGCCTGGTGTTTCTCTGAAAATTTGCCCAGGGCAGTCTGGCTGCCTCCCCACTGACCCCTGCCCCAGTCCTTTGAGAAACTAGAAGCATGGGGAGGAAAGATCACGAACAGGAAGAAGATGCCCTACCCCATCCCACTCCCTGTGTGACCCCTTTGAAGCTGGACCTCTGGTTATCTGCCTGGAAAAGGACACCAGACTTGGGATCACTAACCCTCTTACACTGTGTCACATCAGGATCTCAGGGCCACCAAGCATAGGCTTGCTGGTCCCGGGATGGGGTGGGAGGGAAGAGGGTGGGGAGCAGGGGCTGAGCCTGACTTCTCATAGGCCCTGTGCCCTGGTGACAGCCCCCAGCACCAGGACCTTGCTGGGGAGTTGGTGGTACGTGAGTTCTTTTCCAGTGTCCTTCAGGAGATCTGTGATGAGGTGAGTGAGGTTGACCTGGACAGGGTGGTAGATGTGAAGGGAGGCATAGGACTTGCCAGAATTCTACAGGTCTGGGCTGGCAGGAGGCCTTTAGCATCTGGCCAGCATTGAAGGAAGAAGTTGGCTTTGCAAATAGACATACTTGGAGTGGAATTCTAGCCCTCAATACCTCAATACCTGCTGCCTTGGATTCTTCTTTTCTTTTCTTTTTTTTTTTTCTTTTTTTTTTTTTTAGAGAGAGTCTTGCTCTGTTGCCCAGGCTGGGTGGAATGGTGCCATATTGGCTCACTGCAACCTTCGCCTCCTGGGTTCAAGTGTTTCTCATGCCTCAGCTTCCTGTAGCTGGGATTACAGGTGCCTGCCACCATGCCTGGCTAATTTTTTTTTTTTTTTTTGAGACAGTCTCGAACTGTTGCCAGGCTGGAGTGCAGTGGCATGATCTCGGCTCACTGCAACTTCTGCCTCTTGGGTTCAAGTGATTCTCCTACCTCAGCCTCCTGAGTAGGTGGGATTACAGGCACATGCTACCATGCCCAGCTAATTTTTTTGTATTTTTAGTAGAGGCGGGGTTTCACCATGTTGGTTAGGCTGGTGTTAAACTCTTGACCTCATGATCTGCCCGCCTCAGCCTCCTAAAGTGCTGGGATTAAAGATGTAAGCCACTGCTCTCGGCCTCACCTGGCTAATTTTTGTATTTTTAGTAGTGATGAGGTTTCGCCATGTTGCCGGGCTGGTCTCAAACTCCTGGCCTCAAGTGATCCACCAGCCTTGGCCTCCCAAAGTGTTGGGATTGGCCAGCCAAGAAATCATCTTTTCAATGCAAACAATCACAAATGTGTTGCCTCCTCCCCAAGTCTGTTGAAAAAGGAGTACATGGGAGTCCCAGTCACTAAACTGACTTCCCTCGGCAACTCTGGGCAAAGTGCTCAGTCTCTCTGGTTTTGGTGCATCTGTAGAACAAACATGGCCATCAGGTGACATTCTGTGATGCTGGACCCTTGATCTACAAGGCATAAAATGCTGTACATGGGTAACAGGCTGATTTTCATTGAGAAGGGCAGGGATGTGGGCAGTGGCATTGATAGGAGGGAATTCCCCCCCACACCCTCCACCCCAGGTGAACCTGCCGCTGCTCACCCTGAGCCAGCCCCTGCTATTGGGAATCGCCCGAAACGAGACCAGTGCTGGCCGAGCGAGTGCCGAGTTCTATGTCCAGTGAGTGGTCGGGTGCTTGATCCTGGGTTTTGGGGAGGTGGGTGGTGAGGAATGGGCTGAGGCAGCTGTGGCTCCACAGGGACCCCGCAGGGGCTGGTCACCCACTAAGCCATCCGTGTGTTCTTGTCCAGGTGCAGCCTGACTTCTGAGCAGGTGAGGAAGCACTACCTGAGTGGAGGTCCCGAGGCCCACGAGTCTACAGGAATCATCTTTGTGGAGACACAGGTGCAGAATGACAAACCGTCTTGCTTGGAGGCCAGGGCTGGGGTCTGCAAAGAGACCTGGCAGTGCTTGTCTTGTGGGGAAGGTGTCGGCTGGGTCACAGTTCCCTCCAGAGTCACAAGATTTGCCCTCAGTGCAAGGGAAAGGTCTAGGGACCTGTTCAGCCCCTTAACATGCCTCCCTAGGGACAGTGCAGAGGTCTCTGAGGCTCAGGAATTCCAGGCACAGCCCTGGCAGGAGATGTGGCAAGGCCTGAATGCCTGTGTCTGGCTGTCTCCCCACAGAACGTGCGGAGATTGCAGGAGACGGAAATGTGGGCTGAGCTCTGTCCCTCGGCCAAAGGCGCCATTCTCCTCTACAACCGGGTTCAGGGAAGTCCCACCGGAGCAGCCCTAAGGTCCCCAGCCCTACTCCCACCGTTCTGAAGACAATAAAGGACTTCATTTTATTGGCATCTGCTGTTTCTGTGATAGAGAGGAGCAATGGGACCTGAGTGTGTAAGGCAGGACACGTGACTTGGGGGTGGGGAAAAAACCCGCCAGCCTCAGTGTCCCCCTCTGCAAGCAGGGGATGAGGGCTGTGCCTCCCTTTGCTGGCTCCAGTGAGGCTCCGGGGCAGAAGCAGCTCTATGAGATATGCCTCGCTGCAGAGCGGAGCAGCAGCGTAACAGAGAGACGGTGGCAGGGCCGAAAGCCTCACAAAGACTCAGAGAGTGGGCTCCGTCCCTGTCGCTCCTGTCCAGCGCCGGCGCCTGTCCAGCGAGTCCGCAGGCGGGAGGGCCGGAGGCACCAAAAGCCAATAGACGCGTAGGGGCGGGGTCTCAACCATAGTTTTCGGCCAGCTGGGCGTGGCCTTAGCAACCACGCCAATGAGAGTGCGAGGGCGGGGCCTGAATAGACGCAGGAAATGGCGACGGCCGTGGGGTCTGTGCGCGATGGGGGCGGGGCCTGGTTGTGGCCCCGCCTTCACCCGGCCTCAAGCTCCCTGGGTGGGAACGGGGTCTCCAAGTCCCGGGCTGGTTGTCCAGACCCCGAAGTCAGCGCGGGGAAGGGCCGCGGATGCCCCAGTCAGAGGAAGGGGCAGGTCCAGGACACGCGGGTCTGGTCCTGGGCAAGAACCGCCCCCTCCCCGGGCCTGCTTCAGTCTTCCTTCGCAGAAACACTGGGCCAGGCCCCTTCCCTCTTCCCCGGGTGCTTGAAGTCTAGCCCCAACCTGGTCCCAATGCGCTCTTGGTGGCCTTCTTTCCCAGCTGCCCTCCCGCCGCCATGCCGCCCCTACTGCCCCTGCGCCTGTGCCGGCTGTGGCCCCACAGCCCTCCCTCCCGGCTCCTCGGAACGGCTGCCGGGCAGCGGTGAGTTGGGCGCGGGGGGCCGGCCTGGTTGTTCAATGGGTTACTGTTTGCCCTATGTGCTGAGATATTTGTGGTCTCTACTGCGTGTCAGGAGGTTCCCAGGTTTGTCTCAGGTAACCCTCACCTTCCCTGTTGAGGATCGGAGATAAAGACCCCCAAGGTCATACACCGATTTAAGCAGCAGAGGAGGAATTTGAGTCCAGGTCACACCCAACCCTCTTACCCCAGCTCTGTGTGTGTGTGGTTTTCAAGCATCACTGTGCATAGCCCTCTGTGGGGGATGGGAGGCGTGGGGGGGGGTGTTGAGTACAAAATGCAGATTCCTGGGCTCTGCTCTCGAGATTCTGAATTGAAGGAATAAATTGGGTGGGGCTTAGGAATCAGTTTTTTCCAACGTTTTTGGACTCCACTTTGAGAGATCCTGACCTGTACTATGCCTGAAACCCTCCAAAGCGAGGGCTGATCTAGAGACGGATGGGTCCTGGAACCTGTTTCAGCCTCTCAGCTCCCGGAGGCTAAATTAAAGGGTGTGGCCCAGGGAGGGGCTGGTAAGGGCAGGGCGGAGCTATCTTCTGGGTTTCCTCAGCCCCTGCAGGTTTGGGACTCTCTCCACAGGTCCAGGCCCAGGAATTATTATGACGTGTTGGGGGTACATCCTGGTGCCAGCACTGCGGAAGTTAAACGAGCTTTCTTTGCCAAGTCCAAAGAGGTAACAGTGCCCCTAATGTGGGGATGGGGAGCAGGAACAGCCAGTGGGGGCATGCTTCAAGTTCCCAGGAGTAGACCTGCATCTCTGGCTGGTGGCATGTTCTTTCAGCCCTCAAAGGGACTGGCAGGTGCTCAAGGGCAGGGGAAAGGCTGTGGGCAGGAGCCAGGGGTTGTCTGATGGGCTGGGCTTGGTTTTCTTGACCTACCTCTTCTTGAGAAACCTGGAACAGGGCATATGGTAAATGCAGGGGGCTGGCAGGTAGGGAGGGCTTGAACACAGGAGGGGGCAAAAAGTCCATGGCTCTCTGGCCTTCTGAGGAGTAGGGAGGCCAGAGTGAGGGTCACTGACTACGTGGGGCCTCTGGGCATGACTGGAGCCCTGGTGTGTGGATGTCATCAGCATGGGTCCTGGGGAGGGACAGGCAAAGGGAGATAAGGGGAGTCCTGCCCCACCCCAGCTGCACCCGGACCGGGACCCTGGAAATCCAGCCCTGCACAACCGCTTTGTGGAGCTGAGCGAGGCATACCACGTGCTCAGCCATGAGCAGAGCCGCCGCAGCTATGATGACCAGCTCCGCTCACCTAGCCCCCCAAAGTCTCCAGGAACCACAGCCCATGACAAGTCTACCTGCCAAACACACAGGTACAGTAGTCCTGCCCTCAGCTCGCCCCAGCCCAGGTTGCTTGGGGAGCCTCATTTCCACAGTGTCCTTTCCTCTGCCTCCTAGCAGCTCCCGGGAGCACCCCAATGCACAGTACTGGTCCCAGTTTCACCATGTGAGGCCACAGGGGCCCCAGTCTAGGCAGCAGCAATACAAATGCAACCAGCAAGTGCTGAGGTACTGCCTCCTGCTCATGCTGGTCGGCATGGGCCTGCACTATGTCATCTTCAGGTAATGCCTTTTCTCCCTGGGAGAAATGGGCAGAGGGCAGGAGGGTGGGTGAATTCCATTGTGGTCAGCCAGCCCTGCACAGCACCTCACGGCACATACTCGTGTCTCTCAAACTGAGAGTTGCTTGAAATCGGTCTCTGGAGTCTTTCCTTACTTAGTGAAGACAGCGCTGCACTAAGAGCTAACGTTGTCACTTACAGCTTTTCATATTTCAAATGTAAATCTTTCATGCTGGCTGCCAGGGAGGGACTGAGCCAAACAAAATCAAGTACAAGCAGCAAATGCAGCACAGCTTTCATTTGGCAGTCCACATCTCTCTGCCACTCTTACACGTGCCATGAAGCTGATTTTCTTTTTTCTTCCTTTTTTTTTTCTCAGACGAAGTCTCACTCTGTCGCCCAGGCTGGAGTGCAGTGGCGCAATCTTGGCTCACTGCAACCTCATCTCTGCCTCCTGGGTTCAAGCAATTCTTCTCTCTCAGCCTCCCCAGTAGCTGGGACTACAGGTGCACACTACCATGCCCAGCTAATTTATTTGTATTTTTAGTGGAGACAGGGTTTACCATGTTGGTCAGGCTGGTCTTGAACTCCTGACCTCAGGTGATCCACCCACCTCCACCTCCCAAAGTGCTGGGATTACAGGCATGAGCCACTGAGCCGGGCCACGAAGCTGATTTTCTAAAGCAGATACCTAAAGGCCAGTGCCTACTGCTAGTAGCCTGCCTAGTTCAGTGATGGAGTTAGATGCACACCCTTTCTAGTCTTCTGGGAGGAGCACCCCATGTTCATAGCTGCCGTCACACCTCGAAGGGCAGCCAGGGCCTTTGGGTGCCATTGGACCCTAGACAGGCCAGGGCCACTCTGAGCTCTCCCCACCTATCATAGGCAGTGTCAGGCTGAGGTCCCTAAACCCTGTGAGGGTTAAAGAGCCGTGAGGCCCCTAGAGTGGCGTGGAAGAAGGCAGGACTTGAGGGACAGCAGGAATTGGAGTCCCAGAGTTAACTGTGACCCGTTGCAGGATGGTAGAGCAGATGCACCTTAACTTCATGGATGAAAAGGATCGGATCATCACCGCCATGTACAACGAGGCGCGGGCGCGGGCCAGGTCTGTTCCTGCTCTATTCTGCCCCCCTGCTCCCTGTCCTGGCACTACCCTTGGGGATCCCTGTCCCAACCACCCAGGTGCCCTCTCCTCCAGGGCCAACAGAGCCAGCCTCCAGCAGAAGCAACAATGGCAGAAGCAGCAGCAGCCACCACCACCAGGGCCAACCCAAGGACCCGAGATCGTGCCCCCAGGCGCTGACCCCTAAGGGGCTCACCTGGTTGGGTGTCTGCTGTGCGCTCCATCTTGCTTCCTTCCCAGGACGGCCAGCTCCCCAAAACGCGCACAATAAAGTGATTGCAGAGCTCGTGTCCGGCTCCCTCTTTTAGGCCCAGCGCCCCCAGTCCCAGCCTCGCCAAGGGGCAGCGCTCCGCCCTCCGGGTTCTAGCGGCGGGCGACCGGGGAGCCCGGCCCCCTGGGCGGTGCGTCCCCTTTCCCCTGCAGCTGCGGGAGGCGGGAGGGGGTGTGTGGAGGGGGCGGGCCCCGCCGGCGGCCTCGCCCCCCCCCACCGCCCCGCCCCCGCCCCACGGCCCGGTGGGGAGCGCGTGTCTGGGTCACATGAGCCGCCCGCCCGCCAGCCCCGGCCCGGCCCCCCGTCGCCCCCGCCGTCCCTGCCGCCACAGCCCGCCGCCACCGGTCGCCCGCCTGCCCGGCTCCTCCTGCCGCCGCTGCGCTGCGCTGCGCTGCCTGAAACCAGGGCTCAGGAGGGGGCAGTGGAGGAGCCGCCCCCCGCGCCCGGCCCCGACCCGCCGCGTCCGGGCCCAAGCCATGGGGCTCTGGCTACCAACGCCCCCGGCGCCACCGGGCTAGGGCGATGCGGGCGCCCCCGGCGGGCGGCCCCTGCGGGCACCATGAGCCCCCTGCTCCGCCGCCTGCTGCTCGCCGCGCTCCTGCAGCTGGCCCCCGCCCAGGTACGTGCAGCCCGACAGCGCGCCAGCCCGCCTTGCCCTCTCTCAAGGTTGGCGGAAGTGAGGAGGCGACCCGCGGCCTCCGCGGAGGGGATCTGCGGGGTACGGCCTTGAACGCGGACGTCTCGGGGGCCCGACGCGTGCATCCCCTGAGAGGTGCCCCTCCCCGCCAGCCCGCCAGCCCTAGCCTGGGGCCACTCCTCTGCCCCACCCCGTCCCCTGGGCACCGCCGGGGGCGGGGCTGCCTCGGTGCCCGCTGGACCTAGTGCGCGCTCCTGATCTGTATGCAGCCCCTAGACATGCTCGGCTCCGCGGCCTGGATATTTGATGCGGCCACCGGGGCACCTGTTGGGTTTTGGGCCAGGGTAGGTCCAGGATGGCCAAGAGAGGACAGATAAAGCTAGAGCAGTGGCCACAGGAACAGAGCAATCTGGAAAGATGGCAGAGAGGTGGTGAAGCCTCCTGATGCAAGGGCAAAATCCCAGGGATGGCGACAGTGCCAGACTCTCCTAGCGTGTACCTTGGGTCCAGGTCTTTTCTCTCCCACAGGCCTCTGTGTCCCAGCCTGATGCCCCTGGCCACCAGAAGAAAGGTAATACTCATAAAAACTCAGCTCTAGCCAGCGCTAAGAGGGTTTATCAGGGGCCCTGATTCCAGGTGCCTGGTGTCCATCATCTTGTGTAACTCCCCCAGAAGATGCAAACTATTATTCTACCCATTTCACGAAGGAGGAAACTGAGGCAGTGGGGTTACTTGGTTCTGGATAAACAGGGCAGGGGAAGACAGGTTGTGAGGGCAGAGCAGGGAGGGGTAGTGGAAGGTGGCTATGGCTTGGGGATTGGAGAGGACAGCTGCTGGGAGCAGCTGCAGGAAAACCAGTGGGGACTTAACCCTTTACCGGTCTGCCCCCAGTAGTGTCATGGATAGATGTGTATACTCGTGCTACCTGCCAGCCCCGGGAGGTGGTGGTGCCCCTGACTGTGGAGCTCATGGGCACCGTGGCCAAACAGCTGGTGCCCAGCTGTGTGACCGTGCAGCGCTGTGGTGGCTGCTGCCCTGACGATGGCCTGGAGTGTGTGCCTACTGGGCAGCACCAAGTCCGGATGCAGGTACTGGGGCAGGCGGGGCAGCGGGCAGGGGATGCATGTACAGGGCAGGCAGAGCAGCGGGCAGGGGATGCATGTATGGGGCAGGCAGGGCAGCGGGCAGGGGATGCATGTATGCGGCAGGCGGGGCAGCGGGCAGGGTGATGCTGGCTGGCTCTGGGGCTGGGGCATCCTGGAGACTGAGGCACAGGAGGTGGGTAGAGAGGAGGGCTAGCGGCCAGGGTCCAGGCTGTTGGGTGAGCTTTTCTCCCTCCAGCCTTAGAGCATCCCTTTTCTCTCTCTCCCTCACTGTCCTCCCTGTTCTTCTGAGCACAGATCCTCATGATCCGGTACCCAAGCAGTCAGCTGGGGGAGATGTCCCTGGAAGAACACAGCCAGTGTGAATGCAGGTGCCAGCCAGGGCCAACTTCTCAGCTCTCAGAGGCCAGGCTTGGGGGTGCTGGGTATGGTGGTCAGCAGAACTGGGAACCAGGTTCCTAAGAGTAGAGCCAAGGGTAGGCCTTGGATCTGGGGCAAGAGAGTAGGATGCTTAGGCTGGGTGCAGTGGCTCATGCCTGTAATCCCAGCACTTTGGGAGGCTGAGACGGGTGGATCACTAAGGTCAGGAGTTCAAGATCAGCCTGGCCAACATGGCCTGTCTCTACTAAAAATACAAAAATTAGCTGGGTGTGGTGGCGGGCACCTGTAATCCCAGCTACTTGGGAGGCTGAGACAGCAGGAAGGCGGAGGTTACAGTGAGCTGAGACCATGCCACTGTACTCCAGCCTGGGCAAGAAGAACAAAACTCAGTCTCCAGAAAAAAAAAAGAGTAGGATACTGGGATTTCCTGATCTTCCTCCTCTTGTCTCTGTCTATTTCTCTTACTTTTCAGACCTAAAAGAAAGGGCAGTGCTGTGAAGCCGGACAGGTGAGTCTCTTGGACTCCAGCTGAGTGGGGGTAAGGGGAGTACCAGTGAGTCTGGAAGCTGTCGCCCCTCCCATGTTTCTCCTCTCACCTGTCGCCCGCTTTCCCTTTTCCTCTGCTCCCAAAGCCTGTGTGCTCTACCCTGACCCCAGCTCCAGGGAAGACTCTTCCTTCCCACCCCAGACATGTCGCTTCTCCTCCCTAGGGCTGCCACTCCCCACCACCGTCCCCAGCCCCGCTCTGTTCCGGGCTGGGATTCTGCCCCCGGAGCACCCTCCCCAGCTGACATCACCCATCCTACTCCAGCCCCAGGCCCCTCTGCCCACGCTGCACCCAGCGCCACCAGCGCCCTGACCACCGGACCTGCCGCTGCCGCTGCCGACGCCGCAGCTTCCTCCGTTGCCAAGGGCGGGGCTTAGAGCTCAACCCAGACACCTGCAGGTGAGGCATCTGTGGGGTGGTATTTGTTTGGAAACGCATCAAGGCCCTGCTCTGGAGCAGGTCTGCAGTGAGCCTGCCAGTAGGAGGAGGGCCAGGGAAGGGGAAGCTGTTGAATATGTTGAACAAATATTTACCAGGCAGCTGCTGGTAATTGGAGCTGCGTAAGCAAGTCAAACATTCTAACTCAGGAGTCAGATACAGGAGGGATGATGCCAGCAGAGGATGTCAAGGGCTGTGGTGAGGAGCACCTGGCCTGATGTTTCAGAGGTCAGAGATCTCTTGGAGGAGGCGACATCTGCCTGGAGTAGAAATGCGGGCCACAGAGCCAGGTGCAGTTGCTCACGCCTGTAATCCCAGCACTTTGGGAGGCTGAGGCAGGCAGATCACGAGGTCAAGAGATCAAGACCATCTTGGCCAACATGGTGAAACCTCATCTCTACTAAAAATACAAAAATTAGCTGGGCATGGTGGTGTGTACGTGTAGTCCCAGCTACTCGGGAGGCTGAGGCAGGAGAATCACTTGATTCTGGGTGGCAGAGGTTGCAGTGAGCTGAAATGGTGCCACTGTACTCCAGCCTGGCGACAGTGCAAGACTCTGTTTCAAAAAAAAAAAAAAAGAAAGAAAGAAATGCGGGCCACAGTTTTTCCAGCTTGCAGTTCAGGCCTTCCCAGAAGCCTCTGTGGTAGATGCCTACCCTCCCTATGGGCTTCAAGAGGCCAGGGGACATAGTGGAACCCTCATCTACCCTTATCTGATGTGTCTCTCACCACCCGTGTCCCACAGTGAGGCCATGGGGTGACATCATATGGGCCAGGCCAGTGTGAGCTTCCCAGGAGTATCAGGAGAGGATGGGCTTCGCAGAAGTTTCGTCCTTGTCCCTGCAGCCTCCAGCGCCCAAGGCTGAGTGGTGTGGCAGGATGCCTAGGTTGTGAACTTAATGGGCCCGAGGCACAAGTGAGTCCAGGGCTGGGGCTGAGTTCCAGCAGCATGAACACATCACATCCTCCCTCCTCAGGTGCCGGAAGCTCCGAAGGTGACATACGGCTTTTCAGACTCACCGGGGTGACTTGCCTCAAGAGGCCATACCCTAATGGGGGAACAGAGAGGAGCCTGGTGAAAAGGGCCAAGCCCCCAAGACCTCAGCCCAGGCAGACGCTGCTCCAGGACCTGCGCCTCTCAGAGGGCTCTCCTGCCATCCCTCGTCTCCCTGAGGCTGTCATCTAACTGGACAGAGTTGGAAGAGGAGACTGGGAGGCAGCAAGAGGGGTCATATACCAGCTCAGGGGAAAATGGGGTACTGTCTCAGCTTCTAACCACCCTGGGCAAGTAAGCATCTTACAACTGGCTCTTCCTCCTCTCACTAAGAAGACCCAAACCTCTGCCTAAAGGGATTTGGGCTTCAGGCTTCGGTATGAAAACTGTGACCCCCGACCCTGATAAAAGAGATGGAAAGCAGCTGTCCCTGCCTGTATCACTGTTTGTCACTGTCCAGGCTGGCTGGTTTGGGCATGAATGTCTGCATTACTAAATCCATAGCCTGTCTCCCTCCCTCATCATGCAGATGAAGGAAATGAGGACTAAGGAGCCGCCGCAGATCCCAGGCAGGGCTGGAATCATGGATTCATCACTTTCGTGTTATTGCCAGGCATGGAGGTCAGGGAGAGCCCAGCTGATACAGAGTGCCAGCCCTCCTGCTTCTCACCGGGGTTCTTTTTTGGAAGGAGACAGCCTTCTGTGGCCAGAGCGCTTGGGGTGGGACCCAGATCTGCTGAGTGACCTTGCTTATCACTGCCCCTGCCTCTCTGAGCAGCAGTTTCCACATGTGCACATAGGGAACAGAAGAGTGCTGTGGCTGGGGTCCTCGGGCTGCGGAGAAGCTTGAGACCATCTTCAGACGATGGAAAAGGACACTCATTCTTCCTGCCGGGCCGCACTGGCAGCATCTGCTGCTTTTTGTTCCCTGTAGCTTGACTCTAAAGCCCCGGCGCCTGCCCTGTCTTCACTTCACTCCCACTTCCCTGAAAGGGAAGCACCAAAGGTCTGGGGCTGGTGGGCCTGGTTTGGGCAGCAGGCTCCGCTTACCACAACCCTCATAGTTTTCTTTTCCTTTTGTTTTTGAGATAGAGTCTTGCTCTGTTGCCCAGGGTGGAGTGCAATGGCACGATCTTGGCTCCCTGCAACCTCCGTCTCCTGAGTTCAATTCTTCTGCCTCAGCCTCCCAAGTAGCTGGGATTACAGGCACCAGCCACCACACCCAACTAATTTTTGTATTTTTTTCTTTTTTGAGATGAAGTTTCGCTCTTGTTGCCCAGGATGGAGTGCAATGGCGTGGTCTCAGCCCAATGCAACTTCCACCTTCTGGGTTCAAGCCATTCTCCTGCCTTAGCCTCCTAAGTAGCTGGGATTACAGGTATCTGCCACCATGCCCAGCAAATTTCTTGTATTTTTAGTAGAGACAGGGTTTCACCATGTTGGCCAGGCTGGTGTTGTACTCCTGACCTCAGGTGATTTGCCCACCGCAGCCTCCCAAAGTGCTGGGATTACAGGCATGAGCCACCGCGCCCACCCAACCCAGTTTTCTCCATCTTCACCTCCCTTGAACCCTGCAGTTGCTGCCTGAGATTCACCTGACTTGTCTATCGCAGCCCAAGCCCAGCCCCTCCCCCTTCTCCCTGCAGCCTCCAGTGCCCAGGGCTGAGTAGTTTGGGATGTATAAAAGGTCAGCCTTGGGCACCAGTGCTTTGCCCACTGAGGCAGGACACTCAGGGGCAGAGTTAACTCAATTGGGCAGCCACCTGCATGGAGGGGCAGCCACCTGCATGGAGGGGCAGCCACCTGAGTGGAGGGATGACCACCCTAATGGAGGTTTTCTCTGAGGTGCTGGGTCAGAACGTGGTTATGATCGTAGTGGGCCCAAGGCAGCAGTGGGTTGAAGGAGGAGACAATTCCTGACAGCGATTACTACTTTCAAATCATTTTCTCAGTCATGATGTCACCGGACATGCCACAGGTCAATTAGCATGAGGCAGAGGAGGGTTAGGGCCCCAGAACTACCACCTCCAGAGCCCACCTAGCCCCACCAGACACCCGCAATGCTTCACATGCACCTCCTCAATTCTGAGGTCAGCATGATGATTGTCTTCCTTTTTCAATTGAGGCAATAGGCTCAAAAAGGCTAATTGGCCTGGGGATTGGCCCTCACATCGGAACCTTCAAGCTAGGTTTAGCTGCCTCTCAACTGCAGGCTCATTACTTCAGTTGATGTTTGGTGGGTGCTGGGGCCCCTGAAAATAAATCTGGCGGGGGAACGGGCCCAGCCAGATCATTCCAGTCAAGAGTCAGAGCCCAGCTGCACAGGTAGAGGTAAGCCTGGCTCCTGGGAGAGACGCGGGCAGGAGCATTGGCAGGTCAGGGCTTGGCATTGGAAATCATCTGGTCCTACAGGGGCCCGGTGGGGTGGGTGTCATCAAGCCCGTGTTACACGCCTGTGTCGGATGCCAGATTCTACCAAGCACACAGCCAGTCAAGTTGCAGACCCGGAATTCAAATCTGAAGCCCAGGATCTTTCCACGGCGACTGAGGGCTGTGGGCCATGATGAGAGTGCTGTGGGAGAGGCTGGAAGCGACTTGAAATGGCGCCTCAAGACCCCCTCCGGGAACCCATGCCCGCCTGACCCTACTATCACCTCGGCCGGAAGTGCTTCCGGACTTTTCGGAAGTCACTTTCACCTAACCTTTCGGACTACCTCTCCGCCGGAAGTGACGCAGGGTACCGGCGTTGCGGGGGCGGGGCTAGGGAAAGTGCCGCGCCAGCGGGCTTGTGGCCGCGGGTTTCGCACGGCCCAATGAGGGAGGGCGGCGTGGCCCGGCCTGGTAGCGACGAGGACGCGCCTGCGCAGAGGCAGCAGCACCACCGGGGTTGACTCCGGGGGCGCGGCGAGGAGGTGAGCGGGGGCCACAGCCCGGGCCGGGGGGACCCGGGGTGCAAGAGGGCAGGCTGGATCAGGCCGGGCAGGAGCGAGCCGGGCTCCGAGTGTCAACGAGAACTAGGTGACGAGGAAATTGGGGGTGGAAATTGGCTGGAGCTGTCCGGAGATGCCGCAGGGGGAGGGTTCTCACGCCGCACAGGGCGGAGTCCTGGGGCTTGGGGCGGGGCGTGAAACCGGGAAGGGTGGGACCTCCGAGCTGGTGCCAGTGGAAGGCGGAGCCCGGCGGCGGGGGGCGGAGCTAGGAGGGTCGGGGGACGGAGCCTGGCTTTTGAAGGAGGAGCTGGAGGAGGTGAAAGGCGGAGCCTCGGGGTCGGAAGCAGAGGGGAAGGGAGTGCAGGCGCTGGGGGCGGGGCTTCAGCCGGTGAGTGGCGTGGCTACAGCTCCGGAAAAGGGGTCTAGTTCTGACGAAGGCGGGGCTGCAGGCCCGGGGGCGGCACCGCGTCCTCCGAAAGGCGGTGCCAAGGAACCAAGTGAGGAGCCCGGCCCGAGTAATGGCCCCGGGCGTCGACGCGGGGGTGGTCTCCGTGGTGGTCGAGCTTGGGGACGCGGTAGGCCGAGAACTCCTCCGGGAGAGGTGGTGTGGGTGGAGCGGTCTCGGCGGCCAGCGGACACAGGGCCAGTCTGGGTGCCCCGGAGACCCCCAAGGGCTCAGAGCTGGGGCGGCGCCCCTGGCGGAGGCACAGGGCCAAACTGGGGGGTATCTTCCGAGGACCCGGGCTCCTCGGAGCCACCCAGCGGGGATGTGTGGGTGCCTCGGGGCCGACCCCCTGCAACGGCCGCAGAGATGTGGGTGTGCTGGGCCGAGGGCAGCTGGGTGTGGCGTGAGTGGGACCGCCCAGTCGGGGCAACTGCTGTGCAGCCAGATAGGGTCTGGACTTTGCGTAAAGGGACGGGTGGGAACTGAAGAGCGGAGGTGGGGACCGGGAGGGAGGGAAGGTATGGGGGTGAGCAAAGGGGCGGGGCCCTGGCTGCTGTGGCCTCCCCTGACCCCCTCCCCCCGCTGCTGGGGTCCTCGGCCAAGCCCCCTTCTCACTGGACTGGTAAGTGTGGCCCCGAAGCCCGGGGGAGAGGGCGGTGACCCGGGATAAAGGGGATCCCCGGGGCAAGCAAGATACAGTGGTGGTCGGACCCTCCTGGTACCTACCCGTGTTCCATGCCCTCCCTGTCTCCCCCCCCACCCCGCCCCGTTCAGTCTGTCGGTCGGGGTCTGTGCCCACAGAGACATGAGGCTGAGCTGGGTCCAGGTCCTGACAGTACTGTCCATCTGCCTGAGCGCCGTGGCCACGGCCACAGGGGCCGAGGGCAAAAGGAAGCTGCAGATCGGGGTCAAGAAACGGGTGGACCACTGTCCCATCAAATCTCGTAAAGGGGATGTCCTGCACATGCACTATACGGTGAGTGGGATGGGCGGCCTTTTGGGAATGGGTGGGGCTTCCAAGGACCAGAAAGTGCTTGGGAGTCTGGTTCTCCATTAGCCAGGTAGGTGACCTTGGGCAAGTCCCCTCTCCCCTCTAAGCCGGTTTTCATGGTTCTGCCTTGCCCTTGCCTACTGCCCAGGTGGGCACCAGCAGGCAGTGACAGTGTACTGTCAGCTGCCCAAGACTCTGTCTCTTAAAGGACTATGACTAGCTGGGCACGGTGGCTCGCACCTGTAATCTCAGCACTTTGGGAGGCCAAGTTGGGTGAATCCTCTGAGGTCAGGAATTTGAGACCAGCTTGGCCTCATGATGAAACTTTGTCTCTACTAAAAATACAGAGTTAGCTGGGCATGGTAGCAGGCGCCTGTAATCCCCGCTACTTGGGAGGCTGAGGTGGGAGAATTGTTTGAACTCAGGAGGCGCAGGCTGCAGTGAACCAAGGTCCTGCCACTGCACTCCAGCCATGGCAATAGAGTGAGACTCCATTTAAAAAAACAAAAAGGACTGACCACCAGTGCTGTGGGAGCCAGCTTGATGGGGAGAGCAGCTGAGGGAGGGGGGTGTCAGGGGTGGTCCCCTCCTCCTCATTGGCCTTCCCGTGGTCCCACAGGGGAAGCTGGAAGATGGGACGGAGTTTGACAGCAGCCTGCCCCAGAACCAGCCCTTTGTATTCTCCCTTGGCACAGGCCAGGTCATCAAGGGCTGGGACCAGGGGCTGCTGGGGTGAGTCGTGGGGGAATGGGCTTGGGAGCAGGGGGGGTGTGCATGGCCACCACCCAAGAGGTAAGCTGTGGGAGGCAAGCCCCAGGGACACAGGACAGGGGCCCTGGGTGTTGCCGTGGGCTGAGCATGTGTCTTCCTGCAGGATGTGTGAGGGGGAAAAGCGCAAGCTGGTGATCCCATCCGAGCTGGGTAAGAGGCCCCTCTGAGGGTGCAGAGTGGGTTTGGGGTGTGTGACTGGGAAGGGTGAAAGCTGCTTCCGCCTTTCATTGGTCTTCTCCATGTCTATTATAATACATGCGTCATCCAAGTTTGGCTGTGTCTAGCAGTGAGGACAGGGCAAGATCCTTGAAGCACTCAGCTGTAGTGGCCTGGCTCTGCCCTTGCCAGGCCTTTGGCACCCCCTTCCCATCTCCATTACACCTTCTCCATTTCTGCCATTCTTGCTGAGGGGCAGAACACCCTCCCTTTGCCCAGGCTGGAAGGGAGCTTGGCCATCGCTGACCGTTTCTTTCTGCATCTTCAACAGGGTATGGAGAGCGGGGAGCTCCCCCAAAGATTCCAGGTAGTCAACCTCTTGACCCCCCATCACCTGCAGCCAGCCCACCTCCCTGTGACTCTGGTTGGCATTTTGACCCCACTTCTCCCCCACAGGTGGTGCAACCCTGGTGTTTGAGGTGGAGCTGCTCAAAATCGAGCGACGATCGGAGCTGTAGCCAGACTGGGGAGGGGCGGGGGGAGAGGCCCCCATCCAGGGACCAGATTGTTCTTAAAAAAAAAAAAAAAAAAAAAAACCACCTTAGAAGCCCATGGAGTGACTGTGTGTGTTTGTGGGTGCTGAGAGACTCAGAGACCTCAGCTCCAGCATCCCCTGCCTTCTCCTTTCCTGACTGCGTAGCATTGGGGGCCTAGGCTCAATGGCATGGTGGCCCTTGCCCAGAGAAACAGGAGTATTCCTGCCTGCCAACAGCAATACTGCTCCCCCCTCCCTCACAGCTCCCTAGCCACTTCCAGCTCCTGGTCTGGGAGCCAGCACTGGGCTATCGCCATGACTACGTGGCCCTCAGGAAGGCCTGCGGTCACCTGGGGAGAAGCTAGCTGGCAGAAGTCACAGAGCGGCGTGCCCCCCTAAAAGAGATCAGTGGAGTCTGTTAGCTGCACCAAAGGCGTATCCTAGCTTTATTAAAGGGCCCGCGCCGCAGAGTCAATATAAAAACACAAAAAGTCCCATCAGTTTAATAACAATAAAAAACCCCAAGTGGAAAACTGAGGGGGGCAGGGGAAAAGACCCCTGGGCCAGGGGCACGAGGAGCCCTGCTCATGGCACCAGGCCTGGCCACAGGGTCCCCTGGTATTGCTGTTGCTATGAGGTTGGGGGCAGCGATTGTCCTGTGGGAGCCACCGTTCGCCTGGGTCAGGGACCCTCATTTCTTCTGGGGTGTGCTCAGCTTCTGCATGCCCCGGATCTTGTCCAGCAGGCCAGAGATGAAGGCCTGGGTGGGAGGGTAAACATTAGGGAGACCAGACCCCAGGATGTCAGGAGCCGGGCTCCCCTCACCCTGCCCCTGGGGAAAGCTCTTACCTCTGTGGGTTTGTAACAGTCAACCAGCAGCTCCTAGCAGGGTATGGGGGAGGAGGGATAAGTGAGTCCTCAGGAGTAGGGGCCTGGAGCTCACCTATACTCACTTCCAAGGGACTGGGGCCACCCTGAGGCACAGGAGATGCCACGGCCACCTCACAGCTAGGCACTGGCCCCATTCTGCTGAGGCAGGAGCTGAGACTCCAGGGCCTGGCTCCACAGTAGTGCCTCAGGGAGCCCTCCGCCCACCACCCCCCCAGCTCCCTCACCTTGACCCTGGCAGCCCGGGCATCATCACTCTCCATGTCCAGGAGCTCATCCACGTCAATCTCCAGTTCTGGGATCTCCTCTTCCTGGGGTGGGGGTGGGGGAGGGGGAAGAGACAAGAGCCTGAGTTAGAGGGTGTAAAGGGGCTCTGGGTTGAGGCCCCTGCCTACCTCGGAGGAACCAGGCCCTGTGCCCAGCAGACACAACGGCAGCTGCTCTGAGGAGGAAAACAGATCAGGCCCGTGCCAAGGCAAATTGCCCAAAGGGGGGTGGAGGGGTTTCCTCTCCCTGCCAGTGGGCACCAGGGGTGCCAGACAAGGCCAGCTAGCCAGGGCTACAGACCTTGGGCTGGGAACCCAGCAGATGTGTCTCCCCAGCATCCGGACCCCCCATCTCACCAGAGCACCGGTGGATGCAGCTGTCCCAGCTCATCATAGCCCCCTCCCCTCCCCCAAACACCTGTCACAGCTCCCCGGGAGTGAGGAGGAAGTGAAGGCTGAGGGGGTCACTGGGAAGGACCCGGGCCTGGCAAAAAGGAAACAAAGAGCCCATGCTTTGGTGAGGGAGGGGGTGCCCACCACCCTGCCCCACCCTCCCCAGGAAGCCCCTATCCTGTTTGGAGTTAGCAGCATTCCAGGGCTGGGCTAGGGTAGGCAGGCAGCACCGGGCAAGCCCACTCCTCCACCCTGCCCCCCGGGGCCTGAGTCACCATCTGAACAACCAGGGAGTCATGGGGGTGGAGAAGCAGAGCCCAGAAAACGGGCTAGCCTGCACGCACGCCAAGATGGGGTTCCAGGCTAGTCCATAAAACAGCCCAGCCCCAGCCACCTATCAGACTCGCTCCGTGTAACCACAGTCTAAGCCAGCGGGCACTAGGGGGTGAGACCTCCTGCCAGTGTCAGCCCAGACTAGCCCCCCTGCCTCTTGCCCAAGGCCCAGGCCACGCCTTGAGGCTTCTGGAGGACACTAAGCTTGACCTGGGGAGTGGCATGAGGGGCGCAGGGTCTGAGGCAGCGGAGAAAACAGAAGTGACTTAAGTCAGACAAGAAAGAGCATATATTCGGGGCGGGGAGTGCAGAGAGGAGAGGAGCGCGCGTGGAAGCAGAGTGCCCTTTGACTCCGGTGACAGGCGAGCTCACAGTGGGGCTCCCAGGCGGACCGGCTCGAGATCGATTTTAAGGTGTCGGCGCGGGGTGGGAACACACCTGGCAGTCGTAAAGGCGCGTGAGCTGCTCCAGGATCCACTCCTCTAGGTTGAGGCGCTTCCGTAGCTCCTTGCGGTCATACTTGACGGTGACCTTCCCTTGGCGCCTCACTGGGCCCTCATCGTCCGCGCCGCCCGGGCCTTCTCCTGCGGCCCCGGGGGGACTCTGAAAGTAGACGCGTGGTCCTGGGCCGCCACTGCCCGGCCCAGGCGCCGGGGCCGCCAACGCCGCGCCCCCCGCGGTCCCGCTGTCCGCCATGGCGGCCGCCGGGGCCACGTGCGCGCGTCGGGCCCCTCCCTGCGCCGCCGCCTCCGGGACGCCCGCCGGCTGGCTCGGGTTAGCTCGCCCGCTCCGCTCCGCGCGGCTCCGCGGCGAGGGCGGCGGCGGGGGCGCCCGGGGGCAGCTGCAGCATGCGGAGCCCCCGGGCCTGGCCTGGCCGCGCCCCGCCCCCTCCCCGCCGATCCGCCCGCCCTTTGTCCCCCGCGGCCGCCGCCCGAGCTGCCGCCGCCGAAGCGCTTTCTCTGTCTCGCTCTTACTCCGCCCCCCGACCACACCCCCTTAAAGGGACAGCCCCTCTACGCGCCCCTCTCCCTTACTCCGCCCCCGGGCAGGGGTAGGGGAGGGTCTCTTTTGCAGAGGGTGGCTTAGCTGTCCGTACCCCCTAAATGCCACCGTCCAGTCCCAAACCCAGGCGTTCTAAGTGCTTAGGACGACGCTTTGCGCTCCCGCCAGAATCCTAGTCCTCCCTGGACCCTTCCTCATTCTGTCCTCATTGAGGCCACCTGAGAATAGGGGCCCTCTGAGAATGCAGGGGAGTGGACAGCGTGTGCAGACTGGGAATCTGGTGAGGAGACGCTGCAGTCCCCGATGTCCCTGTCCTCTAGCCCTCGGCCAGCGAGGGGCGAACCCCCTCCCCTGCGCACGGACCTGCACGTGGACCGGGCTCCCAGGGATGGAGAAGTGGGGAAGGCTGGCGGGAGCTGTCCGAGTCCCCAGATGCCCTGACTAGCAGGGTCCCACGCCCCCAACGAAGGAAGCCGGGGCTGGCGGGGGGGGATGAGGGGAGGCTGCCGGCCAGCCCGAACGGCCAACCGCGGCAGCCACCGCCCACCGGCAAGATGGCGCGGGGCGCGGGCTTGTGGGAAACGGAGTCCGCGCCCGGCACGCCCCTCCCCCGTAGCGCGGCCCGGCCGGGAAGCGCGAAGTTGTTTGGGGTGTCCTCTGAGCCCCCCATCCGTGTCCGCACAGAATGGGACGCTAAGGCGCAAAGAGTTGGGCAATGAGGGGGCCGGGACTCAATAATGAAGGCCATCATCGCGGCTACCCCTAGGAGCGTGCGTCGGGACAGCAGCCCAGACGGCTCCGCCGAGAGGGCGCCGCGCCGGGGCTCCCAGACCCCCGCCCTGCGGCTCCTGGGTCCTCCACACAGCCCTGGCCCACCTCCAATAGGCTGACGGCGCATCCCATTCCCTCCCCCTATGTGATTTTCTGCATCTTTAAATGGTCTCATTCATTCGTTTATTGTCTGTCTCCCACATCTAGACTGTGAGTTCCGTGAGGCTGAGCCCTGCGCGGACCTGTTCTGCTGGTGCTGCCAGGCTGGAGTGGTCTTCAAATCCACTGCTAGTAGGCAAATTACCTGGTCCCCAATGAACCCCAGCACCTAGAACTATGTTACACTCATAGTAGGTCACCGCACTGGTTGAACAAATGATTTGGAAGAAATGAATGGCTTCCTCTGTGCCTGCATTTCCTCAGAAGGTTGTAACAAAGATTACATAGGAAAATTCGTGGAAAGTTCAATTACTACACCACGGAGGTGAATTAAGTCGCACTGGTAGATGAAGCGCGAGCTGAGACTTTAAACCCAAGCTGTGTGGCTCAAACCCCCGACACGAAGTCTATCCTCCACCTCCTCGCCTAATAAGGCGATACCACCCAATAAGGCTGCGAAGCTCCGGGGGATTTCCGTGGACGGCAGCCTCACCTTGAGCCATCCCAAACAGGGTCTTGGATCTGAGTGGCAATATTTCTGCCCCCAGCCCCTCACAGACACTCTTTGGATGTTGTGGGGGAAGCCAGCTGTAGCCGCTGAGGTTCAGAGGTGGATTGGGACTGGCACCAGGGTCACACAGCTGGGGTTGCATCCACACTCCAACCCAGGAGTGTTGGGCTCCTCCTTTGCCCTATAGTCACAGAGAAGAGACAAAGAGAAGACAGAGGCTGGGCATTGTGAGGGCGATAGGCTCCAGGGTTCCGTTCAGGGAAGGGTAGAGTGAGCTGACCACCTACCTCCCCATGCCCTTCCTCTGGCCTCAGCCTCCCTGCAGCCGTGCTGAGCGCTGAGGAAGGCTGACCCTTGCTCTTTCAGATTTGGCAGAGTCCACCCTCTCCACCAGGAACCCCATTCGTGGCCTGGCCTCCTGCCCGAAGCCTGGCCTGATAGGAGGATCACGTTCCCCCAGTCCAGATTCCCCACCACACCAAGCATTGATTTGCGACTTAAGGGTGCAAACAGATTGAAGCAGGAAGATTCTCAAATAGCCCCTCATGCCCAATAGCTTCTGTGGAAGTGGGGCCTGCAGGCCATGAAGACCTCCAGCTCTTGCTCTGCCCTCAAGATGCTTCCACCCTGAGAGCTGGCCTTTCTGTCTGTCCTCCCCTGAGTGTTGGTGTGAAGGTTTCCAGCCATGTCCACAGGTCAGGGCACCCCTCTGAGGGTTCTCTGGGCAGGGCATTCTTCCTGACTCTCCTTCTCCATTCTGTGCCACTCCCAGGCACACCCGGATTCCTGTCCAGTTCCCATGGCCATCCACCCAAGACCACTTGGTACAGGTGGGCGTGCTGGCTTGCCACCTTCCTGGAAGCTGGGCCACCCTGCACAGAACCTTAGCCTTGGAGTAGGAACTCCTACTCCAAGAAGAACTGGGTTCAAATCCTGGCTCTACACCATAGGCTGAGAGGCTGTTTGCAAGTCACTTACCTGCCCCAGGCCTCTTCAGGGGGCTGATGGTCCTGACCTCCTGTGGTTAGGGTCTGTGCCCAGCCGTGGCCCTCCTGCCTGAGCCCTACTGGGACTGGAGTGTACCCTGCTCCTCCTTCCAGCCTCGGGCTGTGGCCTCCCCAGCCCTACCCCTCCCAGGTCCCCAGCTCCCCTCCATTAGAGTGCATCCTTGAAGCAGAGGCTCTGGGGAGGGTCCTGTAGGTCAAGACTCTCCTTTAATCAACGGTAAAGCCTGGAAAGGCTGCCTGCCTTCACCATTACTGCTTGCTGAGAAACCCTATTACCATTACCAAGGCTGGAAAAAAGTGTCTGGGAAGGAAGGAGCCCTCTAATGGGGGCTGCCCTGGCCTCGGGAGACACAGGGTGGGGGGAGGAGAAGAGGCTCCAGCCCAGGAAATAGGTGCCAATCCTGTTTTCTTCCCCAAGGAGCTGCTGTCTTATGCTTCTTTGAAATATCCTTGCCCAAGGCCTAGGGCCCACAGCTTGACCCCCTAAGCACAGGCCCTGGCTCCGGGCTCTGCTAGCCCCAGCAAAGGCTGGAGGCTCCCCTGCCTCAGAGCTGACCTCTGCCCTTTCCTCCTTCCTCCCTGGTGTCCCCACAGCTTCCAGCCACTCATGTCAAATTGGCGTCTCCCCACCCATTTGCTTATATATTCAGCAACCTTTAGCTTCTAGACAAGGTGACTGAGGACCTAGAGAGAGTAGGTTGGGCCACTAGCAAGAGGCTGCTAGCAAGAGCCAACCTAACTCCAGCCTGTGAGGGCAGGGGCCAATCTCTTGCATGGCTCTGTTTTCCCAAGGAGGTCTAGAGGCTCCTGGGCCTCAGGAAGTCGGAGGGTTGAAACCCTCCTCAGAAGCTGTGTGACCTTGGGCAAGTCCCTTCCCCTCTCTAGGCCTCAAGTGGAGATCATAATCACACCCCACAGGGCTAGGGCTGAAAGCAAGGAGATTCACTAGGTTAGAGTTGATGGAGAACTTGGTGGGGTGTGGAGGAAGGCCAGGGCCAGGCAGGGCTCCTCGTGGGGGTCTCAATGCCAGGGGCAGAGGGGCCTGCAAGGCGGCTCCTTCTCTGCTGACCCCTCCCCCCCAGAGCCAGCTGCATCTCTTTCTGGGTTTCTAGGTGACTTGGCTGGCCCCTCTGGATGAGTTCTACTTTAAACCTGCTGCTGTTACTGCCTCTGTATTGGGGGGGCTCCCACAGGGGCCCCCAGGCAGGAACCCCCCCCCACCCAGCCAAGCCCTGCGGGAGGGGCTGCAGCCGCCACCCATCCCATTGGTCATGCGCCTTCCCCGCTCCCATCCTTGGAACGCAGATTTCAGGGCACCTGCTGTGGGCCTGGCACTGCAGAGCCCCTCCTCAACCCTTCTGTCTGGGGACACCCACAAAGCTTCTGACCCCACTGGGCAGACAACAGCGTTCCCTGCGTAGTTCTCAGCCATGAGGCCCCACAGTCAGGCTCCAGTCATGGGGTCTGCGGCAAAAAGAAGGGGGCTGTTCTAGGGCCCATTCTCAAAGACCAGGATGCTTGGGTCCTCAAAGGAGGTGGCAGGCGCCCGGCCTCCCAGGGCTAGGGACGGGGGAGGGGCGCCTGCCTGCGGGAGGCCCATTAGTCGGCTAAGTGCTCCCAGGGAGGGGGACCGCGCAGCAGAAGAGTGGGTGAGGCGAAGCCAGGGTAGAGAGGGGCGGGAGAAGCTTTTCTTGCTTTCAGCTAAGTGCCGCAGAAGCGGGTGGGCGGCAAGGCTCTGCGGCGACCCCCGGCCTAAGTCCAGCTTTCCACCGGCACCACAGCCCCGTCGCTCAGAAACCTCAGCGGGCTGATCCCGGGCCGCCTTAAGCAGCGCCCTCTACACCCAGTCCCTCCAGTTGCTCCCCAACAGCCACTCCGGCCCCCAGCCCCTTCGTTCCACCCCAGGCCCGAAGGATCAGGTCCTGCTAAGTCCCGCAGCAAAGTCCCTAACCCGTCCGCATGCCCCTGCTCCAATCTCCGCTCCGGCTGCAGTCGCCGCCCCGGCCGCCAGGGGGAGCCGACGCGGGGCGGGCGGGTCCGACGCGGTGGGAGGGGGCGGGACCCGGGAGGCCCCGCCCCGTCCCCGCCCCGCCCGGGCCCCGCCGAGGCGCTGGTCGGTCCGGGACAGACTGGCGGGCGGGCGGGCGGGCGGGCACTGACGCCGCGGGGCCAGAGCGGCCCGTGCGGTGGGACTAGCGGCGCCGTCGGTCCCCGTCAGGATTCCGTGAGTCCCCGACCCGCCCCTGGTCTGGTCATGGCGGGCGCCCAGCCCGGCGTCCACGCGCTGCAGCTGGAGCCGCCCACCGTGGTGGAGACCCTGCGGCGCGGGAGTAAGTTCATCAAATGGGACGAGGTAAGCGCGCGGGCCCCTGCTCCGCCCAGATTCCGGGACTCCTTCAGTCAAGCTCGACCAGA